AAATGCCGCAGAAAACGCACCACCGTGGCCACAATGATGCAAAACAATCCCAAAAGCGCCAAATTGCCCAAAAAACCCGCCTCGCGACCATGTACAATTCAAGGTCTAAAGCCAACCCCACAGGCACCATCCACAACGATCTACCGTTATAAGTCTCTAGGAACGCTTCCCAAACCACCAAATATGCTCTGTGTTCGCCAGTCAAACGGACAAAATGATGTGGTGATGTTAGCCCCGCCGTAGCCGCACAGAGACGCCGATTGAAAATCCTCCCCATCGCCATGATGCGACAAGCGAAGTTCAATTTACCCAAAAGAGATTGAAGCAGGTGCAGACGCACCTTCCGCGCCCTCCGAGCCATACCCACATCCCTTTTGAGATCCTCGAGCTTGTCCTGCGGCAAGCGGCATTCCATGGACTGCATATCACTTATGATACCCAAAAAACTGCAACTTGGTCACAGGACCCTCAGTTTTGTCGTGCACCAGCGGAATACCCAACTCCCGGGCCACCCCTTCTAACGTCATCAACAACACCGAACAGAGGGGGGAACCCGACGGGCCAACGTACAAAAAATCGTCCAAGTCGTGGATGATGGACGAAACCTGGGCCGCATCCCGCACCACCCATTGACAAACGTACTAAATTTTTCAAAAAAGGAACAGGAAATTGAACACCCCATAGGCTTGCCCCTATTAAAACACCTGGCGAATCCATGTGAACCTCCGCAGCCAGAGCACTCATGCTTGAAACGACAGGAGGACCCAAAGCGGCAAGAGCCCTTGTTGAATTGCCAACAATAGCCCTTCCGCTGTCCAGCCGACTGTCCCGAGGCTCCCGAACCGCCAGCAGCCCCTGGAAAGGGCGGTCCCGGCACCCGGGGCTGCGCCATGAGCTGAATCCACAAACCGATAGCTTTATGATCCCAAAGCACATCATGACGAACAACCTTCCGCTGGCGGAACTGCTCGTCATAACGCAGCCACGCTATGCCACCATATACCCTGTGCCCTCCCCGATCGCATCCATATAGCAGAACAATGGCGAACAATTCTCAGGTGCCCGCTCACCAATTACACTAGCCAAAATAGCGAACGCCTGTCGCCAATTCGTAAACGTTAGCGGAATGAGACGCCAGCGACGTTTTTCCTCCTCTTTCCTACTCTCACCCTTCTCTATATTAAACTTCTCCAACGGCAACAAAGAAAACATCTTCTCCCTAACCTCTGGCTTCAAGTGCGCCCTCGAAGCAAACATACACCTGTCCTTTTTCCAAAACCGCCAAGCGAACCGTGTCAGCGTCCTTCGCCGCAGAGGCCCCCGCTCGACCCGGCGCTGCAGCCGTGGAGTCAGTCCCCCCCAGCCACGGAAGTAGAGGTACACACCCCCGCCACCATCCACCCCGTCCGGCTGTGGTCCCACCGCCGGGGTCGCAGGCCGCCCCACCTCAGTAGGTGCACAGAACCCTATGGCAGCCTGTGGCGGTGTCAGGAATGAACACCGTCCCGAAGCCAGATACCATGGCGGGGCCAGCCCTGTCAGCAGCGTTCCGTTGCCGGGCGACGGGCGGCCTCCATTCAGCGCTCCACTCCTCCCCCCGCTTGTCAGCTGGCGTGGTACTTACAGCCTCCTCTCTAAAATACTATTGATTGATTTCACTGCTGCATAGGACTGTTGTATCCTGTTGATACTTAACCACTTGCCGTCCGCCCATGCGCTGAATACTGAAAAATGGCCTGGATGGGAAGGGGGTTTAACACCGTGGATGTCAACTGGTTAAGGGAGATTAATGCTCAGGATCAGTGACTATAACTATCTCTGTTGTTCCAACAGTGCCATACTTTCACTCTGGACTGTAATAACCATAACCTTACTCTAGAGTTATCTACAATTGTCATCACTAGTGAATTGAACTAGTGAATAGGAACTACAAACCATAACAGGCCCCAATGCTGTTCAAGTGTGGTTGTGAAAGTTAAACTATCAGTACTAGCCTACTACTGATCTGATGGTGTATCATGTGACAGGGGTTCCAACTTCACTCAATACACTAAAGTGTGACTGTGAACCCTCTTCCTGAACCATCTCCACCTACCTCCGCAGCTGCGATCCCATATATCTGGCCGAGCTTGCACGGATCATTACAGGCGGCGGCAAGGAGCCCACCGGCAACCAAGCTCCCACAGGTCCGGGAGGCGGCGCCAGAGCCCTAGCAAGATTGCAATGAGCTAGCAAAGACCTGAACCCCTCAAAAAATTAAAAAAACCCAGGCAACACACCCCGCAAATCACTGTGCTCCACCGCCCAAGGGGGCGCCACCCCGCCAAGATCCTGCGAGCCGACCAATCCACCCCCAACCAACGCCACGTCGGACCACACCCAACTAGAAGGCAAAGAAAAAGACAAAATCTCACCAAGCTGTCGCAGCGCCGGGCCGTGGTCAGCCGCCACTCCAGGTCCCAGTTGACTCCGCAGCCGTCCGTCAGCATCTTCCACTGCGGGCGAGTCGTCAAGACCACTCAGCTCCCCGGATTCAGCCGACGAATCCCGACGTCCAGCAGGCCAGGTCGCCCTGTGGCATGAAGAGGAAGGCCCAGGTCGCCGATCCATCTCCTCTTCCTCCGCGAACAACATCAGGGATACACCGGCCGAAGAAGCCCCAGGAACAGCCTGTCCCTTTAAGGGGCTCCGCCTCCCAGCCGCTGCCACTCTCAGACCTTCAGACTCAGTAGAGGTGGGAGGAGCCGCAAGGTGCATAGGATCCTCCTCCCCACCTGCAGCAGCACGTCTCCCTCGACGAGCCCTCCCCCCGCTCCCTGCTCCAGCAGAGGGGGAGGC